AAGGGTTTGTGTTACCTTTTCCCTGATTTTGTGACTCTGCATGGTGTGTCAAGGGCTATCCTCTAGAAGGGGTAACCCTGAACCCATTTGGGAGAAGAGGCTTGGGGACTGAAGGGGTGACTTGGGTGCTTAAAATTTCTGCAGGCCTCAGACCACTCATTGCCCTGTTTAAAAACAAAAAAAAGAATGAAGAGTTCCTCAGGTTGAACTTTGACTCCTGGCAGCTTCGTATCTGCACCTGTATCATTTTCTTGGCATCTGTGCTGCCTTCTTAATAATAATAATAATAATAAAGTTGGAAGGGACCTTGGAGGTCATCTAGTCCAACCCCCTGCTCAGGCAGGAAACCCTATACCATTTCAGACAAATGGCTGTCCAGTCTCTTCTTAAAAACTTCCAGTATTGGAGCATTCACTGCTTCTGGAGGCAGGTTGTTCCATTGGTTAATTGTTCTGTCAGGAAGTTTCTCCTTAGTTCCAGGTTGCTTCTCTCCTTGATTAGTTTCCATCCGTTGCTTCTTGTTCTGCCTTCAGGCGCCTTGGAAAATAGCTTGACTCCCTTCTTTGTGGCAGCCCCTGAGATATTCCCACAGGTATTCTTGCACTCCCAGTCTTCCCACCTGTAGATTTCCTGGTGGTCCCTCATCCCATCCATCCAAGTTTCTTACTTTGTTTTTAGCATCAATCAAGTCCTGCTAGTGCTACCCCTTAATGCAGGGGTGTCAAACTCAATTTCACTGAGGGCCGCATCAGCATTGCGGTTGCCCTTGGGGGGCCGGGTGGGTGTGGCCAGAGTGGGTTCAGCCTACTGGGTGGGCGTGGCCAGTTCTACATCATTCACGTCAAGGGTGCCCGTGGGGGCCTGGGCAGGAGTGGGACAGATCTGAGGGTCTCTGGCAGAAGGGGGTGGGACCGGGGCAATGCCAAGGCATGGTCCACCGGAGCAAGTCCCAAGATGGCCACCACAAAATTGTACATTGGCTCCCAGCTGGCCTGGGCCAGGGCCAAGGCAGCGGGGGCCGTTCCCTCACTGTTTCCAGAATGGTTTCGCGGACCACATGAAACCACTTCGTGGGCCGCATCCGGCCCCCGGGCCTTGTGTTTGACATGTCTGCCTTAACGCCTCCCAGTGCTTCGAAAGAAGAATGAAAAGATTGAAAAGTTTGAACCCTCTCTAGGGGCTGGAGAGAGAATACTTCTAGTTATGGATTTTTTTTATAGTACAGCTTTAAAAAAAAAGGAAGATAATAATAGTGCCTTATTACATGTCTATGTTATAATTGGACCATTGCATTATACAGAGAGCTGATTTTCTGGTTAAAATTTACAAACTGGGCAGATGTTCCCAGCAGTCAAAAACTCCAGTTTTGCATCCCACAATGCATGCAAGACTCTCCTAGCGACTTCTGGAATTATAAAATGTTTTTTTTCTATAGGTCAGACGTGGGTGGGAAAGACCTTTTAATTTCTACTAATGCAATCCGGGAGCTGAGATTTTTGCAAAAGAATATTGGATTAAACAAAGCTTGAGCAAATGCTGCCAGACTAGTCTTGTGTCCTACAGTTGTGCATTAAGAAAATTCTGCTGATGCGTTTTGACTTTGAAACCTCGCTGAACTGCCTCAAAAATTAGCAAACTGGTTAAGCATATTAAAGGCAATTTACTCTTACAAATTATCAGAAGGAGCCTGATGGGCGTGCATTTTACTAACCGCGTCAAATTTCGTAAAGCATACTCTGTTGAAGCCTGTCTTTTAATAAAACACAGGTAATTCTCACCTTACGACTACAATTGAGCCCAACATTCCTGTTGCTAAACGAGACCGTTATTAAGTGAGTTTTTCTCCCCATTTTACGACCTTTCTTGCCGCAGTTAAGTGAATCACTGCAGTTGATAAGTTAGTAACCCGGTTATCAAGTGAAGCTGGCTTCCCCATTGATTTTGCTTGTCAGAAGGTCGCAAAAGAGGATTGCGTGACCCCCTCGGGATGCTGCGACCGTCGTAAATATGAACCAGTTGCCTAGCATCCGAATTTTGATCACGTGACCCTGGGGATGCTACAAAGGTCGTAAGTGTAAAAAACGGTCATAAGTCACATTTTTCAGTGCTGTTGTAACTTTGAATGGTCACTAAATGAACTGTGGTAAGTCGAAGACTACCTGTATGTTCACTGGAAAAGATGTTACCAGAATCCTCCTGTTTATTACTACCATATCATACCGTACTTCCCTCCGTGCCTGTATTGGATGTCTTTATCATATGAGATGTTTGTCACAATCCTTTTAGCCCCCCCCCCCCCATCTCCTTAAGAAGAAGATGATGATGGACAAGGAGGAGGGAAGCAAAATACTCATAAAAATTATTTCATTTGCAAAAAAAATAGATGTTGACAAATATCACATCACTGTCACAAAAAAGATGTTGAGAGTTTGGAAAAAAATCAGAGAAGAGCAACTAAGATGATCAAAGGCCTGGAGACTAAAACATACGAAGAACGGCTGCAGGACTTGGGTTTGGCTAGTCTAAAGAAAAGAAGAAATAGGGGAGACAGGATAGTAGTCTTCCAGTATTTGAGGGGCTGCCACAAAGAAGAGGGGGTCACGTTGTTCACCAAAGCACCAGAGGGAAGGACAAGAAACAATGGCTGGAAACTAATCAAGGAGAGAAGCAACCTGGAATTAAGGAGAAACTTCCTGACAGTGAGGACAATTAACCAGTGGAACAGCTTGCCACCAGAAATCGTGGGCGCTCCATCACTGGAGATTTTTGAGAAGAGGCTGGACAGTCACTTCTCTGAGATGGTATAGGTCCTCCTGCTTGAACAGGAGGCTGGACTAGAAGACCTCCCAGGTCCCTTCCAGCTCTATTCTATTTGCCTTAAGATTCCGATGTCAGCATGGGACACCCCACGTAAGTCTGGAACGTGTCTCATGGGGATAACACAAGCTGCGTATTTTAAACTTGCTAAAGACAATGTTTGTTAGTTTACGGCGAGCAAATCACATTCTAGAGAGCTGGGTCCGCTTATGATTTACCAAAACATTTGTTATTATGGGATACCTATTTCTATTACTGTCCTCGTTTCTGTTGTTGCCCTTGCTGGGCCTGCCTCCCATTGATATCACAAAGAAAACGCTGGGGTAGGATTCAGCTTGTTTGGAGAATGCCACATTTTATGGGTGTGAGGCGAGGGAAATTTCATATACTGTGTTGATACATATATGAAGCTCCCTTTTCACATCCAAGATAGTTCTCCGTTCTTCCAATTGACGGTCCCGCGTTTTCTCCTCAGCTAGGCATTTTACTTAGCACAGAAGCCACAGAAGCAAGTGGTCCGATTCTTTTTCATAGACCAGGGGTCTTCAAACTTGGCCCTTTTATTACTTGTGGACTTCAACTCCCAGAATTCCTCAGCCAGGCACGCTGGCTGAGGAATTCTGGGAGTTGAAGTCCACAAGTCATGAAGGGGCCATAGTTCCCCCATGCTGGCTGAGGAATTCTGGGAGTTGAAGTCCACAAGTCA